TCTCATTAGATCCGCCTGAAAAACCGAGAGATGGACCTGATTGGAATGACCATGTGAAAGGGCTCTTGGCTTCCATTCACATATAGCATGTGTGTTTTCCGCGTGGTGTTCCATGCAAACCGCACAGCACGCAAATGCTTAATTCCTTACACCTGCACAGATTCCGCTTGTTTGCTGCTATTACTAGACTTTTGTGAGATGCTGCAAAAGTCTGAACAATGCACATTAAAGTGGATTGTTTTTTATGTATAGAGCGCTTCCGCGTGTATTCGTACGGCCGAATACGCACGCACAACCACTCTTGTGTGAATGGAGCCTAATAGTTGCTGTAGCTACAGCTCCCTTCTGTCATGCTGGCAAATGCAAGGGGGGAGTGGCAGTGGGTAAGAACAGGGCTTACTACACATGCACACCTTGTGCACATTGAATAAGTTACATAATATGGCTTAGTTCACACCAAAGCATCAGCGTTTGTGCGCATATTAGCATCTTGTCTAGCATGTTTAGCACATTTTGTACACGCAGACGCGCGTTCTATTGAGCAGATTGAAATGTATTGCGGTGAATGAACAAACCTGTGCAAAAACACGCACAGAAATGTGCACAACGCTCGTGTTGTGCATTTCCATTGAAGTCTATGCAGCCAAAAGCCCTGTAATCATCCCCCAAAAAAAGCTCATGTGCTTTTTGTAGCGTTCGGCATTTTACAGCTTGCAACAAAACTCTCAAGTGTGAACAGAGGCCATTGAAATGAATGGGATTACTTGTGTTGAGAGTTTTGTCGCACTTAGATTTGAGCGTCAAAACGCCCAGGTGTGAGCACAGCATGTGAAAAAAAAGACACTTACATGTCCAACGAGTACAGCCAAAAGGAAAAAATAATTAGAAAGCCTTGTATCCTCAGAATCCCGAGCCTACAGTTGATCCATAGGAAGGCAAAAACCCTTGTAAAGCATGATCCAACTAGCTCTAGAAGGAGAAGAAATCCAGTGTTAATAAAAGGTGTCCTTCTTTGAAGCAATGTATTGAGTTGACTAGAACTAGTTTTCGTGAAGGTCTATTAATTATTTTTAAAGTGCATGTTGTAAGGAACACTTTTTGTATTTCGATTTTAAACCTCTTTTCCTCCAGGTATAAATAATGCCCTTGGTCTTTTGCAAACCCCAAAAACAAAAATATACATTGGGGGGGAATTTATCATATCAATTGTGAGTGTTTGAACTTGCACTGAATATATTTGCACCAGATTTATGTTGCTACTGTAATGTTGTTCATAAATGAGGTTAAATAGACTCCAGGAAAGAAGACTCATAACTTCAGGAAAAAAGCTTAACTATCGCTTCTAGAAGAAGGAGTCATGGGGACTTCTTAAGTTGTGATTGTTTTGTTAGGTAATGCTCCAGTATCAGATTGCCGCAGGAGCAGTTTTAGCAAGAACAGAAAACACCTGTTGATCTTACCAATAATGCAGTATCCTTGTCAAGTCCTGTGAGCTGAAAAAGACAGCACATATAATATTATCTCTTTTTGTACACTACTTGTTCCTTCAATGCACCATGTAATGGAGATGAACAAAGGCAAATATGTTTGTGGGACAACCATGACTCCTTTCGTAGATACCATGGAGGAGTGAAAGTAAGGAAAAAGAAAAAAATATATATAAAGAGAACTAATGCAGCCAGCACATCTAAAGACTGGTATGATGAAGTGTAGAACATTTTTGGGTTTAGATACATTTTAAAGTGGACAGCTTTGCACCAAGTTTACCATATGGACTATATATGTATTTGTATAAGCTGATCATATCCCAGCTTAATCTCAAGAAAGAATACATTCCGTTCAGTAATTCTTCCTCTTAGCTAAGGTCCTCTGTGCCCCTTATTCTTTTAGTTGCCCTTTTTTGTACTCTTTTCAGTTCCAAATTCTTTTTTTTAAACTGTTACCGAAGACTGAACTGCATATTTAAAGCATAGCTGATGTCAAGAACAAAAATGTAATCTATTGCAGTTTTCCAACCTTTTGATGTGGTGGCTAGCTTAATTTTTTTTTTTTTCAGGCTAAGAATATTTTCAGCAAGTACAGAAAACAAAGCTATCTTTTTGTGTAAACCACTAATTCCATCCCCCATGGAATGAAGATGAAGGAAGGCAGACCTGTTTGAATACCAGACTGGGTGGTAACCATGTTTCCCTCCATAGATACATTGGACAGGAAGTGTTATTTGCAGGATTACACCTGTATTTGCAGGATTATTACTGTTCAGATACCATTTGGCCTGCAATGCCGGCACTGGTGCCACTCTACATCCTCACACTCCCTGTCACCACTTCCAGGGATGTAGGACGAGAAGTGCAAGAGAAGCCCGCTCATCAGCCGGTCTCTAGCAAGGTATGTGTATAACCAGAAAGGTTATGGGGACATGGGCTGATAAGAAACAAAACACCCTCCAATGAACCAGTGCAAAGCATCCTTGAACGTTCTTTAGACTCATTTAAAGAAGAATTAAAGTCTGTTTTTTGGCATATATGTAGTGCTACTAAGCAATAGATATATGCCCAAATACTGAAAAATGGCCTGGATGGGAAGGGGGTTTAACACCGCGGATATCAACTGGTTAAAAAGAAGAGAAAAAAAAAGGTGGCAAATACCAACAAACTTACCTGTGTCAGCTGCGCTCGCTCACGCTGTAGAAGTCCCGACTCCTAAACGCTGTGAAGGAGGAATTGTGGGCAGGCACATGCACAGTATTGTCGGACACCTCTGACACGGAATGGACGCAGCCATGCAGCCGTGAGCACGCACGACAGACTCTATGGGACCCGTGGAGTCTGCGGTGGATCAGAGACCGGCACCAGCGCTGGAAAGACTTTAAAAAACTAGTGGAAAGAAGAAGCATCACAAAAGGTAAGTCCTTACAGCAGCATTGGGCCCCATTCACACTGAGCGATTTATTGCGCAGATTTCCACGCGATATTGCTCTCCAATGCAAGTCAATGGAAATGTGCTTGTCGCTGTCGCTATTGCGGGACCCCTTTTGGCGCAGATGTTGCGCGATTGTACTCGGTCCAATGCAATCATGCGCGGAAAACCGCGTGATATCGCGCAAAATGACAAACACGCGATTTGCAATCTGCTCAGCGTGAATGGGGCCTTAGGAGGGGGGAAAACAATTCTAGCTTTATGCCACTTTAATGTGGGCAAGGCTGTTAACCCTGAAGGAACTCTTGAAATAATTTTGAGGTCTCAAGAAACCCCTGCTAAAAAATTATTATATCTATATTTCACAGAATATCACAATTAAGCTTTTGAAGGTTTTAAATATGGCATACTCTAGCTGGCCATACACCTGTAGAGAAAAAAAACTCTTGATTCCCCCATCAATGACACACAACAAAATCTTTTTTGGCTTTACTTTTCATGTGGAGCTATTTCCAAAGTCGGGATCCACCTAGCTGCCTGATTGACAGCTGGCTCCAGCTCTTTAGAGCCAGCTGTGCCCACCCCCTCCTCTGTCCCTCCAATGAGCACCTGAGGAACAGAGATTGGAATCCCCCTCCCCTCTCTGCAAGGAGGAGACCGTGAGCTGAGCAATCAGCGGTCACCTGATTGCTCAGCTCTCAATTTATGGAGCTGAGTGACATCTGCAGTATCCCACTTTGGCTCTGAGTATATTTTACTCTCCCAATATTTCTCCTTCTAGTTATACATAGCTACAGAGATGACTTAATTCCCTCCCATCCATGCTAAAGAGTGTGGATGGGGGAATCTCTCCTGTCAGCTATTGTATTCCGACACCCAACGTCTTTTGTGCCTGTTTGAATACTTGAACAGTTGCTTTTTGGCTGACAATTTCCTACTCGGCTCCTTCAATTTTTTAGTCTACTTCTGTTGAGCTGAGTTATGCCGATAGGGGCACCCACAGTCCAAATTTCAGCCGGCTCCAAAAATCTCAGCTGTGTACGGCCAGCTTAACCTCTGTAGTGCCAACCCAGTTCGCCTGAGCTCATCCAAGCCCGATCAAAACTGTTACTGCCACCTCCTCCTACCAACCCAATAAGTTTTGTCAGAAGGAAGCCCAACCCCCCTTTAAAGGCTTCCTCCTGATAGACCTGCACCCAATTTTTTCTTCTGACCCATATGATCCAAGATGGAGACTCTCATAGTTTAGAGTTAGGACCGCACTATCAGAGGTGCCTTGGCGCGGCTTTCACATTTTCTGCAGAAGACGTGTATCCAAACCTCTGTTTTTAACCTTAGTGGTGAGACAAGTTGTTTTACATGCTATCTTCTGAGTGTGTCAGGAAACCTTTTTACTGTTTAAAGCCCATTCCATGTGCACTTTGCTGTAAAGCTGGTGATGAATTGATGAGTGCGTTTGTCATTTGTTTTGCTTGAAAGATACCAGTATCAGAGCATACCTAGTTGAAGGGCATGCCCTGCTGCGCAGCTATACGTCACAAAGGGGCAGAGAATGCCCTTGCCTCAACTGGCGCCACTGCTTCGGTGTCTGTGCGGCCACTAATTGGGCCAGGAGGGGGAACTGGCGTCACAATTTTGAGCATGCTTGGGCAAACTGGGTTCACACTAAGCCAAGGCTCTTGTACTCTGGAGGAACCCTGGTTGAGAGCCTGAGTGAGGCAATTGTACAGGACAGCAAGTAGCCTAAACACTAGAATCCAGCAGCTTCCGTCGCTGCGCAACGTCCCTCATAGCAGCAGGGAGCTCATAGCAGATTTTAATTCACACGTGCTAATATCGTCCATATTTCCCTAAAACTGATTCGTCGTGTAGTAGCCAGCACTTATTGAAGGCTACAGAAAAATGGCCGATGCCGTAGACACAGCCATTTGTAAGGCGGAGACACTCTCCAGAGGAAGTTTTAGCCTCTTGCGCACAGAACTCAATAGAAGGGGATTTGAGGGAGGCGTGACGTCACCGCTGGTTGGGAATTTTCTCGGCGCCATTTTGAAGCTGCTTGGCTACTGTTATCCTCTTGCTTTCCGCTCGCCTGTAATACACTAAGGATGGCCATGGCCAACAGGAACCTGAAGCAAGTGCGCATCGAGAAGACTGCCACCCCGAGCAGCAGTGCCGACATGGCGTCCATGCCGCACCAGCAAATGGTGACTCCAGGCAAGGGCATGAAGCGCAGCCTGGACCTGTCCGAGGGAGACCCATCACTCATGCCTCCCAAGATGGAAGAGCGGGAAGAGGAGCGCGGGGTCACCATTGACATTAAGAGCTTCTTGAAGCCCGGGGAGAAGAGTTACACCCAGCGCTGCCGCCTGTTCGTGGGTAACCTGCCTACAGACATCACCGAGGACGAGTTCAAGAGGCTGTTCGATAAGTACGGCGAGCCCAGCGAGGTGTTCATCAACAGAGACCGGGGCTTCGGCTTCATCCGCCTGGTAAGACTCCATTGTGTGATGGAGGCCTGCTGCCTGTGGGGTCTATGAGCGCGTGCACGTGTCAGTGGTGCTAGTGCGCGCATTGAGCCTTACCATCCATCCATCCATTCATTCCTCTGAGAAGAGGAGGCTTCCTGTCCTGGCTGTGATGGAGATGCTAGCCAAGACTGAAAAAAAATAAACATTGTACCAATTTTATTGACACGTTAAAGCAGATCTCCTCCCACTTTACACTATGAATCCTTACCCAATCCACATCCTTTGACATCCACCAAAAAGCAAAGCATTGTCTTGTTTTTACACACTTGACTCCTGCCGTGCACATGTATTTGAACTCCAGGAATTTAAAAATCTCACCCTTGTGGTGGGGCGATCATCTGCACTGTAAGGGTTAAGTGCTTGTTTTGTCTATGGGGCACCTGATCCTTGACCCCCTGGTGGTCAGCACTCTCCTCCCCTCCACTCTGGCTGTGGAATGTCTCTTGGCGTCCTTGCTGCGAATGCTAGTCAATGGACATGCATAAAATGTGATTAAATCAGCGGTCCTTAGACTGTTGGAGCCTGGGGGATAAGAGGCTGTGAGTAGCAGTCTAGCAGCCAGGTGGGTCGAAGTATCAGGTGAGTATATCTGCTTCATTTGAACCCTCATCACAAAATCAGCACTTAAAGTGGCACTAAACACAGGAGATAAATCTTAAACATTTTAATTCAGGTAGCTTAACTATTAACGAAAATGTATCTTATTTCTGTATCAGCTGTAGATCCTCAAATTATCTCTGAATTGGTGAATACATTGTCCTTCCTTCTAGAGGGTGGCTACTTTTGTTCCCCATGGTCCCTGTGTGTGTTGTAGTCACCACTCCAAGCTCGCTCCCATGATGGACTACAATCTTAAAGGAGAACTATCAGGTGAGTGCTTTTTGTGTCCTCCCGTTACCCTAAGGAGAACTATGGGGACTAAACACTGAACCCATAGTTCTCCTTTAATACAAATTAGTAAACTGAACATGAGATTGTAGTCCATCAGGAGAGTGAACTTGGAGCAGTGACTACTTTATAACACACACAGGGACCATGGGGAACAAAAGTAGTCACCGTCCAGAAGGAAGGACAGTGTTGGCACCAATTCAGAGATGATTTGAGGATCTACAGCCGAGTGCACACAAATAAGATATGGTTTTGTTAATAGTTAACCTCTTGCCGTCCGCCCGTAGTAAAAAAATGGACAGACGGCACTGCTACATCTGCGGGTTGCCGTCTCCAGACGGCAATTTTTTTCTGCTCGCGGGCACGCACGGGCAGAAAAGACCCGACCGTTGCACACACCCGTTACCGGGTGTTTCACATATAGGCGATCGCCTATATGTGCTCGTTCGCGGCACCAACCCCAGCCCCCCCGCGTGCGG